TATCATTAGGATGAGAGCTGCTGAATGAAAAGGCTCTGAGTTTTTCATCGTGAGATAAAATCCAGCAGAACTTTAGGGTAGAACCAAAAAAGACTGAAGAGAAAGTGAAAAGAGGCTGTGAAATTCAAAGCAGTGCCTACCTGAGTAAATGTCAGGGGAACTAATCTTAAAACCATGATTTTTTTAAAGTGTAATTTTGGATCAGAAACGTGTTTTGAGCTGTTCAGAGTTGCGAAATAATAACTGAATATTTATGCTCGATCATGTTGTGATGGCGAAGCACAATCAAGTTTGCAAAGCCAAATGATGGAACGATATTTGCCGTATGCCTCCTGACCATTTTTTCCCCTCCCCGACTCCCCTACACCCTGCTAATGTTCTCGGCTTTATTTGTTTTCAGATGACAGTGATATGGTGTAAATGGCAGTGTAATTTAAGTAATTTGATGTTATCTTCAAGGAGCTAAATCAACCAAGAGTTTTGTACTATTTTTGTGTAACCCGTATGTAGAAATGGAAACAGGGCCCAGTTTCTATTATTTGCATTAAAAAATACTTAGTGTTCATTGATGGTAGAGATGCATATTAAAGCCAGGAAATTGATGGTGCTGTTTTGTCAGGCTTTACTGCATCATCACTTCTCTGGCATAGAGGAGGCGGCAGCGTGATTATTTGCATCCAGTTATATCAGGCCTTTGTTATCAACAAGGCTTTAAATGTCTAATAGTAACAGGTTGAAAGGAAAAGAGATTTGATTTCACAAAGTATGGCCTGGTCTAATTAACTGCATTTCTCCTTGTTAGTCTGAATGGATACTTATTTGAAGTAACAGCAACTTGGGCATGGGCTGTTCAAATGAACAGCAATGGGGAATGGATTTTGAATGAAGTTCCCAAAGCAAAGACTTCATCGTACCCTTTGGCATATCCTTGGAAAAGCAATATTTATTTGCCAGAGTGGTATTAGATCACTATAAATCCAGAAATATTCATATTTTAAAATGTTGGTCTGTCAATTTTTACACATTCCACTCTCCCAAGGAATCGCATTTATAAAAACTGAGTCATGGTAAAAAAATAAAATGATTAAACTCATCATTAATTTTGTTTGCTGAGATTACAGCAACGATGACATTATGTGCGTAAAGTCATCAGAAAACATTTAGTAACATATGTTCAGTTGCATGTATCTTTCATTTCTAATGAGAGTGTCGGTGTCTCTTTGCTGATTAGTTGCCCCTTCCACTCATTTCTCCTCATTCTTATACAACTGATTCATTTAAAGGTATGTCAGCACTGGCTAAAATGAAGCACTGTGCCGCCTCCTTTCTGCTTATTGCAGGCTGCCCTAATAATTCATTTTTTAGCTCATTAGCTAACAGGGTATGTGAACAGCCCTTCTCGAGGGGATTGGAATGAGTTTCAGTGATCTAGTGCTGACAACTCTGCTCTTGGACTGGCCTTCCTTTGGGGAAAAAGGGAATCTGAACCCAGATGAGCCGAGGATCCCAGAATGAGACTGGGTTATTGGGCCAACAGTTTATTTATTATTTATGTACTTCATTTATACCCTGCCTTTCTCACTCCGCAGGGGACTCAAGGCGGCTTACAGACAGGCAAAATTCAATGCCACATGTGAACATAACAATAAAAACATAACAATAAAATATGTTGCTCTTGATTGCCAGTTAGTGTTTGCGTCTCTCCTAGGATGACAGATTTGAACTAGATACAGTAAATCAGCTATCCTCTGAACCTAAAATGTCAGCTTCAGTCTTTAACATGGTCTAGTGCCTTGAGAGTTGGACATTAGGACACTCAGCAAGACAAAGATACTGTCTCGGATGGTTCAAGTTGAAATCTCTGAGCTCTTTCTGTAGGATGTTATATTCAACACAACTGAAAATTCAGTTGGTTCAAACTGTTTCTGCCCAACTATAACATAAATTTGTCACATTGAACTTACAACTCTAGTACTATTTTATCTACATTGATTCTTCCATATGCTCTTCCCCTTTTGAAATCCTAAATGGCATGTAAACTAACTGTTCTTGGGCTGGTTGCATTATCCCAGTCTCAAAGGAAACCCCCCTCTGAATCAATCTTGCCAAGAACATTCTGTGATAAGTTTGCCTTAAAGTCAGACTGAATTGAAAACGTACACCTACAACACCTTTGCGTGGTATGCCTCATATGTGGGGAGAGGGCTCTTTGCACAGGCAGTTCCGAGGTTACAAACAAGATAGGTTTGTTCTTAAGTTGAATTTGTATGTAAGTTGGAACAGGTAGATTTTTAAGTGTAACTTCAGCCACACACACATGTAGCATAGGGAAAGATTAACACCTCTAAGATTTTTTTGATTTTTTAATTTTATTTCATTTTGCTGTCTGTGCTTGCATTCAGAAGATTTTACCTCACTTTCTGTCCTTCTGCTAATTAGATTTTGGGGGGAAAATGGCTTGTTGTAGAAACAAAGATTGGCAATAAAAGCTTCAGCGGAGAGACCTGTTTCCCATGATAACTCTTTCAGGAGTGAATTTCCTTTCTGATGAGAGGTAGATTTCTCTCACTTCCTGTTGTCTAGTCTGTCATCACCCCTAAACCTAAAGTGATTTGTAAGTCAGATGTTTGTAACTCAGAAAATGCCCATCTTATATATATAAAAATGCTCTGTGCGTAATGAGTACCTTAAAAGCAAAAGAACCAATGAACGAAATCACACCAAATTTGGCAACAAAACATCTCACAACAGAAGGAGTGACCATCACTCAAAAAATTACGATTTTATCATTTGGGAGTTGTAGTTGCTGGGATTTATAGTTCACCTACAATCAAAAAGCATTCTGAACTCCATCAACGATGGAATTGAACCAAACTTGGCACACAGATCTCCCATGACCAACAGCAAATACTGGAAGGATTTGGTGGGCATTTACCTTGAGTTTTGGAGTTGTAGTTCACCTATATCCAGAGAGCACTGTGGACTCAAAAAAATGATGGATCTGGACCAAACTCGGCACACGCAGTCAATTCGCCCAAATATCAACAAAGATGGAGTTTGGGGAAAATAGACCTTGACATTTGGGAGTTGTAGTCGCTGGGATTCACAGTTCACATATAATCAAAGAGCATTCTGAACCCCACGAACAACAGAACTGGGGCTAACTTCCCACACAGAACCCTCATGACCAACAGAAAATACTTAAGACCATCCAATCCAACTCCCTTCTTCAGGCAAGAAAACGTAATCAAAGTCCTCCTGACAAAGAGCCATCCAGCCAAGGATGATAGATAGATAGATAGATAGATAGATAGATAGATAGATGGATAGATATGATTCACAGAGAGAGAGAGATAGTATACATTTGAAAGGGACCCTTAAAGAAGGACAGTGATATCTTGCATGTTCCAGGGTGGGCAAATCAGACACTCCCCACATCAACACTGACAAAGAAACAGCAAGAAGTACTGTTTACTCACAAGCATAAAGAAATTACATATATTAGAAAACAAAACACTTTATCATTACTTTATTTTCTAGATCAACAGATTGGGCCACAGCAACGCGTGGCAGGGGACAGCTAGTATTTATTTATAGATCAAGTTATTTTAAGATCATTTTTCAGTGTGAGCTTTTAAATGTAGAAGTAACAGAATGCTCATTTAGTAAATTGCCTAACTCCAAGCATTGTAATTCTTTGTTATACCTTTCCTTTTGAAACGTCTTGTTTCCATGTAATTTTGACTTAAGACTACCTCTTTCAACCTGCAAATTCTACCAATTTGCATTTTTCACATTCTAATTATTTCCAGACACATCAGATATTTAGTAAGATATTAGATAAATGCAAAATGTTTACTTTTTTTCATTTTCCTAATAGAATTTTATTTTCCCTATTTAGATACATACCTTCAATACCTACTCTGGTTACTCTAGTTACCTCTTATGGATTTGTTATTTATATTTTATTGGTTTGTAGCCTAAGTATTCTAAATATACTTAAATGGCTCATAGTTTCAAAGTTTTTAATTCTCTTTGAAGTTGGAGGAGTTCTTTATGTCTGAGGGAATTCCTATTTTGATGTGTAGATGTGGAGAGGAGGGGCTGCTTCTGCATAGTAAAGCCATTGCTTCTAAGGAGGTGCCTGTTGAGGAAAGGTTTGCATGAAAGTATGCAATGAGGTTATGGCAAGGTCATCCCTTCCTCACCAAGAAGTGATGCAAAACTAATCCAGATTTACTTTATAAAGAACCTGTTTACTTAAGCATCTGAAAACAGATTAAAGCTAACCTGACACTACATTACTAGGAACAGGATAAGCTTTGCTGCAAAAGCTCAGAAGACCATTTCTTTTTGTACTTGAAGAAGTCAACCCAAAACATTACCACACTTCCTTGCTTTAGTGCTGAAGTGGCTTTTTGTGTAAAGAGATTACCACAATGAACTACAGTGCCTCCAAAAGTAAATTTACTTGTCTGTATACTATTACCTTTTGCCCATGCTCTTACAGCACTGCTGAACTTTCAAGGTTAATTCCAGTAAATGATCACTCAGATTGCTGTTGTATAACTGGTCCATTATATAGTATAAATTTACTGTATAAGAGAAATCCATGAGCAGCATCTATATTCTTTGTGCAACTGATTTCATTAAATCCCAATCATGAATTCAACTTCCAAAGAAAATACAGAAATATATGGATTCACCATCCCTCATACCTTTGTGTGAGCTCAACCCAAATCATTTTGATTTCTTTAAATCTGACAAAGTCACAGCTTGTGAGATCTTCACACATGATAATGCCAACCATGTGTTGTACAAGTTCTTATCCGTCTTCTACTTTTTACGCATAATTTTGGAAAAAGAATTTCACATTAGCAGAATTCCTGAGTAAACTGCAAAAATGAATGGGTACTACCAGTACTCTCAGAAGTCTTGAAACGTTATCAGAATTGGTGTGGGCCGATACTGAAGTACATATATATGCTTTGCTTCTCTAGGGAGGAAAAGGAACACTGGATCCGTGCAAAGTATGAACAGAAGCTCTTCCTTGCTCCTCTGCAATGCTTAGAGCTCTCCTTAGGCCAACACTTGCTAAGAGCAACTGCTGAGGAAGATTTGCGAACTGTCATCCTGCTTCTTGCACATGGGACACGAGAAGAAGTGAATGAAACCTGTGGAGATGGAGATGGACGTTCTTCCTTACATTTGGCTTGTCGGAAAGGAAATGTTGTGTTGGTGCAGCTCTTAATTTGGGTGAGTACCCTCTGCATGGATTCAGGATGGTTGGTTTAGAGTGAACTGTCACTATATGTTTGCTAGGCCCTACTCTGTGAAAGCACAGAGCATTTGGTTGAGTAGAATGGAGATAAATGGTCGATCTGTTTTATCTATAATGCAAGTCTGGCCTGATGTGTTTTCCTCAATAATGCTTTCACGCACCCCAGTTGGTGTTAAATGTCTTATAGATGCTGGCAATTGGTGGCACTGTGGGTTAAACTGCTGAGTTGCTGAGCTTGTTGCAAGTTCAAATCTGGGTAGCAGCATGAGCTTCCGCTGTCAACCCCAGCTTCTGGCAACCTAGCAGTTCAAAAACACGCAAATGTGAGTAGATCAATAGGTACCGCTCCAGAGGGAAGACAACGACTCTCCATGTAGTCATGCCAGCCACATGATCTTGGAGGTGTCTACAGACAATGCCGGCTTAGAAATGGAGATGAGCACCACACTCCAGCGTTGGACACGACTGGGCTTAATGTCAGGGGAAAACCTTTACCTAGTTCAAAATTAGTACAAAAGTTAGATTATAAATAGAAACCAATGTTAAGTTTTTGGAGCCTATTGGGTTATTTTTCCCTCCGACCCACTATGAGGAAGAAGCAGTGCTGAATGCATAACAAGAAGCTGTTTAGATGTAAAATTTACTGAAGGAAATGTGTGTTTTGTTCTATGGATTAATCTTGAAGGCCCCTTCTACGCTGCCATATCAAATCCAGATTATTGACTTTGAACTGGATTAAATGGCAGTGTAGACTCATATAATCCAGTTCAAAGCAGATAATAATGGAATAACTATATGGCGGAACATTGTTTTAATGATTATCGATTGAAGTATGTTTCATTATAATGTTTGATTTTATTGTTGCTGATGTTTTTTATATTGTATATTGTAATTGTGTCCTTGGTGGCATTGAATTCTTGCCTTGTAAACTGCCTCAAGTCGCCAGAAGGCTGAGAGGGGCGGTATAGAAATGTACTAAATAAATAAATAAATAAATAAATAAATAATGTGGATTATATATTTTAATAATCCAGATTTTATGGCAGTGTAGAGTGGGCCTTAATGTTTTTTAATCTGCTTTTGTTGGAGACCTTGAAATGTGTGTTTGTTTCCCACAGTATGGAGTTGATGTTATGGCTCGGGATGCCCATGGAAACAGTGCATTAGCCTATGCCAGGCAAGCCACAAGTCAAGAGTGCATTGACGTCCTTCTGCAGTACGGTTGTCCAGATGAGCGCTTTGTTCTCATGGCGACTCCCAATTTATCCAGGAAGAACACTAACAGGAACAACAGCAGTACAAGAATGCCGACCATAATCTGAAGGATTTGGTTCTTGTTTTCCAGCATTACTAACATTTACCACCACATATTATGCATTAATTTGACAGCTGATTTCTGTGCGTCTTTTAAAAAAAACCCTTCTCCTTTTCTCCTTAGTTCTCACTTTCTCCATAGGGGAAAATGCCTGGATATTGCAAAAGAGGCAAGAAGGAGAAAAGAAGACTGCTGAAACCATGTATTTAAATTAAAAGATCTTGAGTGATGAAAATATAAAAGGGAGGGGGAGACAAAGAGAGGTCATGGGTTCTCTAATGATAGCCCACGACATGGGACCATTTGACTAGGTGTCTCTAGGCAGGCTCCTACAAGCGAGTTACTGGGGGGAAACAACAGGGGGAAGAAGAGAAGGCACAGTAACTTTCCTTAACTGACAGTTAAGCGCATTAGTACGTTTCACCTCTACCAAGCTGAACATTTGGATTTCATTCTCTTTTCTGAAGAGCTTGACAGCATAAATCAGAGGCAAGCACAGAGTTTGTCAGGTTTGAAGCTCCTATGATGGTATGTGTCAAATCAGTTGTAGCTAATCTGTCCAGGGAGAATACTGGCTTCATTACACTTGTATAGTTGAGTTCTTCCAGCATTACTGCTGTTTAATAGAACATGATTAGTCATCACGGAGAAAAAAGCATATTAGCTGAGGAGGTAGTTACATGGCACGCTTCGGTGATTGCTTGGATGTGATTGCAATATTCTTAGAAGCATCATATTATCTCAGACATGTTCTTTCAAGCCCTTGGAGCCCTCCTTTCTAAATTCACTGTCATAATTTAGTATCTGTTTAATTTTTCAGTCCAAAGAGAGGAAATCAGTTGCTGAGTCTTATTTGACTGCAGCCTCCTTGGTGTAAAAACAAAATGGAAAAAATAAATAAGAATAGCGATGAAATAGGGAGTGCAAAGGAATAATGAATACTGCTAAAGAAAAATATATTTCAAGTACATTTATGAGAACAAATACACAAAAGGCTAATTTTTTTTCAGTCATGAGAAATACATTGTGTCACTTTTGCCAAGGTAAATGTGTTGCGTTTTGGTCATTCATTGCCTAAGTTATACCGATTTTGTATTGTGTCTTTAGGTTATATTTGTGTACAAATCAATTAGATTTTTTAAATGTTCGTAAGTATACATTGATTTTTTAAAAAATAAGGCAAGTATTTTATTAATTTATAAACTGTTATTGATGTGAAATAATGTTCAGATAGTTAGGATCGAAGGGATCACAGATTATAATACTAGATCTTGAAAACATTCCCAGCAAATAAATAGATTTTTATTGCTTTGATTAAAAATGTATCTAATCAACGTATCGGCATGGAAAAGCTACAAGGACATATGGTTTGGAAGGGCATGTCATTGTCTTCCAGAAGCACAAACATCTTTCATGGTGTGTTTCATGATGCTGTTGTGGAGGATGACTGCAAATCCTGAGCAGAGTATGCAAAAAATTGGGGTACTCCTCTGTCCCGTTCCCCCCCCCCCAATACAAAACCTGATATATCCTTTTTAAGTGAACATGTTTTCTTCTGCTTTCAAATGACTCTCGTAGAATGGGCTGACATCTGGGAAGAGTTTTAGATAATAATTTTGTTAGCACCGACCCGTTTCTTGGTGATTCTGTGATTTTGAATAGCAAGATTAATTGCAGAAATACATTTTAAATTGTATATTGTAGAGAATGAGCATTAGTTCAAACTGAGTTGCAATAACGAACAAAGAAACTGTTCCATTGCACACAACAACAAGAATGGACTTTTGCCTGTTTTTTTTTTAACAATTCTGTGATATTTTACTACTTTGGGACTGTTTCCTTTGAGGAAAAAATAATTTGGGAAAACTAAAACATGGAAATAAATATATATTGAGAAGACAGGAGAAACAACCTTTGCAATGTACTTTGGTTATTTGAAAAGTATATGGGCCATCAGTTAGTACTAGTCTTCCTAGGATGGATATACACTGCCATACAATCTAGATTATCAAAGCAGATAGCCCATATTATCTGCTTAGAACTGGATTGTAGGAGTCTACACTGCCAGATCATCCAGTTCAAAGCAGATAGTCTGGATTGTTTATGGCAGTGTAGAGGAGTCCTAGACCAGTGATTCTCAACCTGTGCGTCCCCAGAGGTTTTGGCCTACCACTCCCAGAAATCCCAGTCAGTTTACCATCTGTTAGGATTTCTGGGAGTTGAAGGCCAACACATCTGGGGACCCACAGGTTGAGAACCACTGCCCTAAACAAAGTCAGTGGAGTTTGAAGGGCACAAATTGCGGATTTATTTCCTTTGTCTTCTGCGTTGACTTTATGAGCATTTGAAGGAAATAGAAGATCCCTCTCTTTAGCCCTTTCTACACTGCCCTATACCCCTAGATCTTATCCCATATTATCTGCTTTTTACTGGATTATATGAGGCCCCTTCTACACTGCCATATAAAATCTGGATTATTCACTTTGAACTGGATTATATGGCAATGTAGACTCATATATTCCCGTTCAAAGCAGATAATGTGGATTATTTGCTTTGATAACCTGGATTATATGGCAGTGTAGAAGGAGACTGAGTCTCCACTGCCAGATAATCTGGGATAAGCAGATAATCTGGGATCAGATCCTAGAATTTTGGGACAGTGTGGAAGGGGCTTCAGTCATAGCAATTACATAAGTGTACATATGTGATTTTGGAGGTGGGTAATATAGCTGCCTTCATGCTTCTTCTAGGATATTAGCCCATACTTTGGCCTTGATATTCGTTTTGCCCATTAATAGCCCACTCCTGATGCTGTGAAGCCAACCTTCCTTGGCCAAGGTATAGTGATGGGATTAAGGCTTTTCAATCCAGGCAGGTTAATAAATAAAGCAGGAGGAAATGCATGGGAAAAGTACAACAAGTGAGTACTTTCTGTGTTGATGTCATATGGGGTTTCAGTGAAATGAGAGCTACCTGACTCAGTGAAGCCATACCTCCTGTCTCCTTGTCCTTTGGTCCAGCAGGCTCTTGCTCTCTCATCTTCCCCATTGTAGCCCAGTTTGGAAATGAGGCCCCAGTCTGAACAGATTTTTTCAACACTAACTATTTTAACCACTCTGCACTTTCCCCTAATATTTGTATTAGCCTCCTTCTACAATTTCCCTTTAAACAGTCACTTGAATCACTGTTGCATGAAACTGCTGTGTGATGCAGCCCTCTTTTAAATGACACGTCAGTCCCATGTTTCCATTGTCATTCCTTTTATTCATTGTGGTATATATATATATTTGAAGGAGAATATTTAAGAAGGTGGTATCTTCCATTAGTGTGTGTCATAGAAAATGTGTTAGATTTCACAAGCCCACTGTATTAGCCTTTTGTTGTAACTAAAGCATTGGTACAATTATTTGGACTAACACAGTTTTCTTGACCTACTGACAGTGCTAATGCTTTTATATTGCGAGGTAATTCGAAGCTCTCTGGATACATATCGCCTCAGGGAACCTTCAGATGCCCATCCACATCCCACCATTCTTTTGGACAGAAGGGGAAACTCATCTTTATTTCATGAATATCAGTGAGATGGTAGAGGCATGGAGATCATGTTGATGTCATGGTTTTATTATCATGTGCATTTTAATTCTTTGCTTAAACTGCACATTGCTTCCTCCTGTTCTCTTTGAAGTGTGTGCATGAAAACGTTACATTCATTTTCAGTACCAGTGGTAGATATTGAATATTACCAACCCCTTTGAGATGGCTTAGGAGTTAAATGTATGGTTCCCACAAAGTAGTTTAAAACCTATAAGGTGCGGAAAGGGATTCTTGAACTTTAGTATGAACTCAACTAAGGTAGACAATCTCAGGCCAGTGTAGACTTCAGTTCTTGATCTTTGCTAGTGTTTGCACAGTACTACCAGGATGTAGAACAGTGAATTAGACCTTGAAACATGTTATTCGAAATTCCTTCCCCAGTTCAAAAGTACATGCATCCATGTACTTCGAGGTATATGCCCAACCTACCTGTCTCCCAAATTAAAGAATGTGATTCTCAGCATTTCTCAAATTCTCCCAATATTTCACACAATCCATAAATTTCTCACATACCTAACAGGAATCGGATCACAGTTGAAATGGGAATTTCTTGACAAACATTGTTTTAGGCATAGATTGGAACCATGCAGAGATTCCTCTTGAGTTGAGATGGTGCCGTGTCTTAGATCAACACATACATTTTTCAAAATAAGCAGCCATTTTTAACCACATCACTGTTTCTTAAATCACCCCCTTCAATCCTTTTCCTTCATTAAATGTTCTGTTGTCTTTATTTGTTAAACACAACATATGTGCAAATTAAGAAGAAATTAAATTATTATCAGTAAGATATCACAATAGGAATAATCTAGAGAGCTAAATCTCTTTCAGAAATTGGTTTCTAGTGAGAGCACTGTTGACATGTTTTACTGATGACAGACTCTTTTCCTATTTTTAACCATGAAATACACAGTAACTGCCCTTTCTAATGATTGGCTCCTACACCGTAGTGTTAACACTAGCCAACAGCAGAAATAATAAGGCTTGTAGCTGGGGCAGGCTGTTGAGTGTGACCCGTAAGAAAACACTGTTGCCCGCATATTCCAGTCCTTATCATCAAGTAGCATTACTTATCCACGTTTCTTGTCAGGCTACTCAGATTTCTCCCAAAATCTGAACAATGATGTTGACCTTGCTGAAAAGTCAGGAAGTGGACTACATGAAGTACCAATAACACAAACAGAAGGAGCAGCGTGGAAAACATCAGATAACATTGCTCAAAATCACTTCACTATAGTGATGGGATTAAGAGCTTAGAAGTCATTTGCCTGTGTTATTGTCACTAAAAAATGTTCCGTGTTTCATTGATGTTGTCCATCATGCACTTTGTGGGGCACAAAGCACAACACATCCACTGGCTTTGAGCCAGGATTCACCTCTTTTTTGCCTCATTGAGACAATCCTTTGGAGTTTCAAGAACATGTACAGCTCCCTCTCCTCCTGCCAGGTCTACATGTGTACATACATACAAACCAGTCTGTTTCATAGTAACTAATATGAGGAGGGAAAGTGCTTTCTCCCAAGTTGTGTCTCAGCCTGGAGCCCACAAATCCTCCCCTCTAGACTGCTTGAGGTGGAGGAAATGTGGCCAAGTGGCAACTCTGTGGGGAGGTTCGCATGGATTGTGCATTCAGACCTGTTTCTTTCAGAGATTCCAAGGAAATGAAATGACATTTTTTGTTCACACTAAATTATATGAAAACACTGGGACCATTGTTATTCAGGGATCCACTTTTGTGTTCATTCCTAGTAAACGAATCCATTTTTATTATGACCATGTTCATGGTGTCCTTTCAGACACAATCGTATACTGTATTTTATTCTGTGGATGTTTTTCCTTGGGATCTTAGAAGTGTTTCCTATCAAATTGGTATTTAGTAGCATAATGTAGCATTGAGTCTGAGGCCTACAGGTTTCCTTTAGCATATTCAAAGAGGAAATTGAATACAGATACACTAAAAGTCAGGCAGATTTTGCTAGTGATATTTATTAACTACTGTTCTGTAGATTCAGATTTACTTGTTTCAGGTGTAATCATTCAGAATGAACAAAATTTGGCCATTAGTATTTAATATTAGAATTCAGTTGGCTGGATTTCATCTTCAGATATCTTTAGTTCCCTACCTTTTCCTCTTTCAATAGAAAGAGAATGGTGGGGATAACAGCCCTTTTCTTTCTGTCCTTCAAAATGTCTAATACATTTTGGATTCTACTATTATATAAGTTATACAATTCAAGTATTTGTGTTTAAAAACATTTTGATACATACAATTGTGTGGAATAATTATGTATAAAATAACAGATCTTATTTTCTTGAATAGCACTTCAGGGGGAAAGATTC